AAGGCTCTTCACAGCAAAAGTTCAGATAAAGGGAAGCTATTCATCATGCTACTCCAACTCCATGCTACATGTGGGGCTAAACACTATGTGAGTTATTAAGTGTAATTAGGATTTGGGAAACACTGATAGTGTTTAAGTGACTCGAGTGTAATTATAATCTCCGTTATATTACTTGATCTATAGTGGAATTCCGTATTATTCTCCCTATGGATGTAGGTCACATGATCGAATCGCGTAAATCTGGTGTCCAATTTATTTTTTTATTTTGTCAATTTTACTGTTCGACTGCTTGGCTTTCGAAACACATACAACATTGTTGTGTGCGTGTGTAGTCGCGGAAGAAACGGTGACAAATTCATGCTCAGCAGTGCTAAGTTAGCACCAATAACGATGATGTTTCCATCGTGGATGGACAATGATGATAATAGGTATCTTGGTTAAAGACAAAATTGAGGGTGACTTCATAGATTTTATCGAAGATTTGGGATGCCATTCTTCAACTGACCTTTGCTTGTAGGAAAAGAATTCGGTTGGTATTTGCCAAAAGTCCTTGATTTGACTTTATCTTAAAAAAAAATACCGTTTCAAATTTGACTATGAATTAGAACTCGTGAAACATGCTTAAGTTTGAAGTGATCCATTCGTCATTATATATGTCATGTGGTCAGTATGTACCTTTTTAGCACACACCCTTTTTAAGGTTTTTCTTTCTTTAGCACAAACTAAAAATGACCTGCGTATGTGCGGGGAAAAAAAGTGACATTAAAGCTCCGCTTGTTTCTAGAAAAACAAATTATTTAGATAATATTTTTCTAGAAATTATTGCTTACGTTGCTTGAAATAATTAGTCATCGAAAAATATTTTCATTAGCGATAGCAATTTATATTTAAACATTTTCATGGACGATGGGAACATTTTTCGTTTATTCATTTTTCAAAGTAAACAAATGCTTATTTTTAGGAAAATGTTTTCCAAACCATTAATTTCCGCAAAAGAAACGCACCCTAAAGAAAGAAATTATCTCGTACAACATATGACATGGACGATTATTAGAATGTTTTCTCGTGCAGGAGAGCTGAAAAAACATGGAATAGTGAATATTATATCCAAACCACTTATTTAAATGTTTTTTCACATTATATGATTTTTAGCATGTATAAGAGTGTGATAGAATATCATGATCCCTCAAATGCAGGAATTTATAAATTATTCAAGTGATCAAATTTGCCCTCGCTATTTTTATTTGTTTTAGATATTATATCAAAGGAAAAATTTAAAAGCTGCATGTTGTAAATCCTCAAAATAGCAAAGGCTCTTCACAGCAAAAGTTCAGATTAAGGGGAAGCTGTTCATCATGCTACTCCAAGTCCATGCTACCTAAGTTGTTGATTATGACATGAACTGATCATGACATTTTCGTAAAGCATGAATTAATTATGACACGTGCTTAGTGCTCTTTCATCGAATAAGAGCTTAATTCATCTAAAGGACATCTTTCTCGAAAACTAAGGATGTTTCATTGTCTTCTCATTCCCCATTCTTTTACTATAAATTTGCTGGATATGGAGTGGAAAATGTTCACCTAATCATATCTATGTCATACTCAATATGTGTGGGACTCACAAAAATTGAAAACAAAAATCAGAAAATAATTATTTATTTAAAGGCTTTATCAATTGGAAACGTTAGTGCTTAGAGAAAAGAGTTTTCAAGTGGGAAAATTATTCAAAAAGTCTTAAATCTATTGTACATCGGTCAATTCAGTGCTGAGTCTTTCAATTGTATCAATTCAGTCCTAAACCTATTGTGAGACGGCCAATTTAGTCATAAACCTTTCAATTATACCAATTTAGTCATAAACATTTTGATGATTTGCCAATTTAGTTCTAAATCTTTTAATGATTTGCCAACGTAACCCTTCGGTGATTTCTGGCCAAAATTACGTCAACGGGTGACGTGGCGCTTTGATACTACTGATTATTATCTTCTCGCCGAGATTGAAAGGGAGACCGGAGAAGGACTCGATGCATACAATGAGATAGTTGACCTAATCCTGTCTTATTGATTCGAATGACCGCACAGTTTTAACCCCAAGGAGTTCGAGTACACAAATCTTCCGGAGTTACCTCCAATATTCGCCGTATGAAGCGAAAAACATACTCGAGTTCTCGTAAGTGGTCATTTGAGCGGTTGGATACAGTAGATGGTCCGAGAAGGCGATCTCTTGAGTCTTTAGGACCTCCTTGGCTACTTTAGTGGTTTTGATTGTTACAACAGGAAGCTCACCGAGTTGAAGATAGAAGACCGATCCATATATCTTGCCCAACCTGTTTAGGCGATGGTGCGGCAATTCGCCGATCATCTGGTGCAAATTTCTGATAATCGGTAACTTCTTCGGATCTAGAGTTAGCTTAATATTTGGCCCACGCATGTCTACTAAAGATCACTTTGTTAATAAGTATATCGCGACCTTCCCAGAGGTGAACCACCCAAGGGAAAACTAATGGATTATTAAGCCAAAAACTTAGCGTGGACTCTCCCAAACCCATACTAATTGCAACTTTGGAGTTTTGATTTAATCAAGGGATAACTGTACTGAAATTCCTAAAATTTTCCACGAAAGTGCGATTGAGTGCTAAAACTTTCAAAAAGTGCAAAAACTTGTCAAATTAGTGCAATAAAGTCCTTCTGTTAACTCTGTCCAATTAGGCTCTTACAAAGTGTCTTATTTTATTACTTTTTAAAACATGTGACAACGATGTGGCGCTCACCAAGCGACATGTTAGAAATTTTTTTTAAAAAAATACAACTAAATTACATTTAAAAATAAAAAGGCTAAAAGTTAGAAAAAAACACACTAATTTAAAAGATAAAACAAAAGTAAATCACATCATAGCCCTTGCAAGTGGCTGCCGCCACTGGAAAGGGTTGGCGGAAGGTCGCAAGAGCCTCACCGGCCCCCGACGAGGGCCTGTTGGCCTAGATCTTGGGGAGGGCGCTAGGCTCTCACCGGGGGTCGGCGACCCTTGCTCAGTTCTGGGGTGAGGGTTGTGCCCTCCCCTAAATTTGCGCTAGTAGGCCCTTGCCAGGGACCGGCAAGGTTGTCGGGCTCCGGCAAGGCCCAAGCAACTTTTGCTGGCCCTTCCCGACGGTGGTGGCAGTAGCCACCAATGAGGGCTTGGTCCTTTGTTTTTTTTTCTTGGTTTTAGAAAAAAAAAATTAAATTTTAATTTATTAAATCTAAGTTAAGTAAAATTTGAAAAAGAATATATTAAAATTTAAAAAATAAAATTTTGAAAAATATTAAAATATTATTAAAAATTATTCACGTAAGCGACGGCCTACGTCTGCATTAGCAATATTCGGCCAAAATTAGCCGGAATGATTGAATTAGCACTACGTTAAAAGGTTTAGGAATAAATTGGTACTAAAAAAGGTTTATGACTAAATTGGCACAAAAAAAATTTAAAACTAAATTGGCACAAAAAAGGGTTATGAATAAATTAGCACAAATGCAATATGTTTAATACTTTTCTGACATTTTTCCCTTCACGAGAAGGAACCCAACTACTGGAATTCATAGGAACAAGCGAGGCGACCAACCTGTAAAGTGGAAACCACCAGAAAGAGGATCCTCAAAGGTTATGGCACATTTATTCCATGGAAAATAAATAATTTGAAAAATATTTTTTTAAAAATTATTGCTTGTATCACTTACAAAAATAAATAAACAAAAAAAAATTCATCGTCCACGAAAATATTTAAACATAAATTGTTGGTCATAATGTAACATCTTTAATTGACTAATTATTTCAAAAGATGTAAGTGATCATTTTTAAGAAATTATTTTTTAAATTATTTATTTTTCTAGAAACAAATAGATATCTAGCAAAAAGGTCATCCGTAGGAGCCGTGGCCCGTAGGTAAAACTTGTGACGATTTCGAAGGTACTCCAGTTGATGGGTTTGCAAAAGAGTTGCAGGTTGTCAGAGATGATTTGTTGCTAAGGCCCAAAGACCTCAGACCCCCTATGGCATATTTTGTGTTTAGTAGCCCAGTTACTTTGTTCTAAATGTGTTGAATGATGAGATGAGTTGAATGTTTTCCAAAAAAAAACCACCAGTCAAATTTTAAACAAAATTACTGTCAACTTGGAGTTAAATAAAAGTCCCTTCCAATCCAAATAGACAAATAAAAGAGGGAAAGTTTCAAAAAATGCTTTTCATAAATTACTTCCAAGAATATTGTCAGAAGAAAATTGTCAAATAAATCATAAACATATTATACAACGGCTAATTCGATCATAAATTTTTTAATGTGGTCAATTTAGTCTTAAACCTTTTAATGATTTGTAAATATAATCATTCCAACCAATTTGTCCAGAAATCGTTGACGTGATATTCCAATCAATGCTGGCCGTGCCACGTAGGACGACCAGTGTCCATATCAGCGATTTTCGGCCAAAACTGGCCAGAAGGATTACATTGGCAAATTGTTAAAAAGATTTAGAACTAAACTGACCAAATTAAAAATTTTAATACTAAATCAGCCACCATACAATAGATTTAAGATTTTTTGGACAATTATCCCATAATGTTTGTGTCAATATAGCTCGTGAATTTGGTGATTGTCTCAATTGATCGCCTAGTTCACCGGCGGCACAAAACTTCAGCAAACGGCAACCACATGCATGTCGCGTGCCATCATACTCACCATGGATAGGAGCATTTTCATCCGAATTCGTTCGATCTCAAATTCCTAAAATCTCTAAACTAATCCCTTGGGTCGTGAGTCCGAGAGTCTTTGAGGATGCAAATCGAAGCTGTAATGGTTTTTGCTTGTAGAATCTGTTAGAATGATTCGCGAAGATGAAGGAGAGGGAGGAGTTTCTTCTCACTCTGCTTCTAGCTTTTGTCCTGCTTGCGTTACTTTGGAGGAGCAAATCACTAGAATACAGAAAAGAAAAAGAGAAAAAACAATAGTAGAAAGCAAGAGTAAATCACTAGAATTTCTTTTCTTTTCTGATGTACTAAACAGAGCAGAGTAAATCTGCTACAGGAGGAACCAAAATGCAGTATCAAGCCTCACTTTTTATCAACCCCCAAGCTCAACAGATCTCCACATGATGTGGAGATGACGTTTCACTAGTCTTCAAATCACTTAGCCTACATAAACATCAAGGTAAGTATCGGAGAAAATAATAATGCTAGAAAACAGAAGACTCCTGCCATGAACCTTTTTAAATCTTGTATAGCCATATAGGATTTGTTGCATCGCATCAAGTCACTTTAAAGATCACATTTGAGATGGATTTGCCTTTCCAAGTACTACATGCCCATTACTACTCCAAGTCCCAGCCGAATACAACTCAAGTAACTCCAGACTTAGCATAAATTTTGCTTTGAGCCTCCATAGCAACAGCATGTTCCACGAACAAATGATTTCTGGATTCAGAGAGGCATTCCTCTAACCACTAGTGTCATTTATACCAGCAAACCATCTCATCATTCTGTCCTTCGTTGAGAGTTTATCCAATATAGTAAGCTACCAGATGAAACTATGCTTTGAAATGTTAGGAGTAAATGCCATTAATTTGGGCCATGCCACTTTCCTTGCTCAAGTTCTTATACTGCTCCATGCACTATTAACCAAAAATTTCGTTGAAGAAGCTTCCTTCCAAACCACCTGATCAGCCTGCCATGGATGAAAATATGCAACACAGAGCAGATTGAATCAAGGCTAACTTGCAATTGGCCATACCCAGTTTCCATGCTTAATTACATATCCTACTTTAGCTTGCAATGAAAGCCCCGAATCACAAACCATCTAGCAGAAAACTTTTCCAGTAATGTTCCCATTGGATGCGGTGGATCAAACCATAACAAGATGTTTTTACCATCACAAACAGTATATTGAAAGGGGTTTTATCTCTGCCCTGAGTTTAAGAAGCTTCCTCCAAATGTAAGAGGAAGAACCAGAGGAAAGAATTGGCCAAAAGCTCTTCTATTTTGAATTATAAGCTTTCATCCAAGCAATCCACAAAGGACCAGCATCCACAAGCAACAACTATATTAGCTTCATGACAGCTTTATTACATTGGTGTATCTGCTTTATTCCAAACCTCCCTCCTGTGGCAAGCAACATCAAGCCACTTCACTTTTGCATTTTTTGTCTTCATTTCAGAAACAGACCACAAAAAGGCACTACAGCAACTCTCTATGGCCTCAATAACCTTTATTGGTAAAGCAAACACACCACACTAGTATGTAACACTGCTATATAAGACAGAATCAACAAGTTGTAACTTGCAAGCAAAGGACAATCCTTTAGAGCTCCAGCTTTTAATTCTACTCAAAATTCGGTCAATGACCGGCTTGAAATCCTTTTCTGAGAGCTTACCAGGTATTAAAGGAAGACACTTCACTGGAAGAGAACCAACCTTAAATCCACTTCTCAGGACCACCTCACTCAGCAATTCATCAGAAACACAAAAGGCATATATCTCAGTTTTAGCAGGACTTAATCTCAGTACAGTCCTGACATCAAAGAAAATGCTCGAAATATACATAATATCTCCTGCATAGCTTCCAGGCTTCCATATGTCAATATAAAATGTCATCAGCAAAGCACAAGTGGCTTAGCTTAATTTCGGAGCACTTAGGATGATATTTCAACATCCCAAGCTCTGCAGCCCGATTCAACAACTTAGAGAGAACTTCAATAAGCATCACAAAGATATGATGAGAGAGAGCAAATCTCCTTGTCTCAAAAGCTTTTGCACTAGGGAAATGACTTTTTAGCCCACCATTTATAGAGATGGAAAAATGTAAAGAAGAGGTGCAGCATTTAACCCATTGTACGTAACTCACAGGCAAGCCAATAACATGCATCGTGCTGAAAATAAAAGGCCAAAGGCCTTCTATTTAGTCTGCTCTTATAGCACTCCTCGGAGAATTATTCTTTCCGGTCGCCATGCTTAACCACCTCCTGAGCAAGCAGCCCATTTTCCATAATTTTCCTGCCTTCGACAAAAGCCCACTGATTAGGACTTATTCATGAGATTGTATCTCCAGGGCTTGTGTCAGATCATTCTTATGCATGAATTCCAGCTAGAATTGGAAGGTGACGAGAACCCGACAAGACTTTTCGAGTTTTATAACTACTGGACTTAATTGCAGGCTATCTTATGTACAGATTGCATACAAAGCTTAACATGTTGAAGGTGGAAGCTAAAGAAGCTCAATAGAACAAAATTCTTGTGCTATTTCAGACACAGTGGAAGCCAAGTAATTGGAGTTAAAAGGGCAGTTCAGCATTCCCCGAGGGCTGATCCCTACTGAAAACATTGGCTTTTGGCAGAGATGGAGACTTACCAAGGAATCAACCCAATTTGCAGCATGCAGAAGCGGCATGGATTTTCGCCGGCGCCGGAGGTCGCCGATCAACACCACCTTGCATAAGTAGCCCGGCCATTGCTCCGAGCGTCCCTTCCCCTGCTGATCGAAGCTCAAACTGAGACAGCCTCGGGTTTTGGCGAGCGAATTTCGAGAGGTTTTGGGCTTCGATTGAATTGCATGAGAGATTTTCGTCGGCGTTATTGGGAAATTTAGGGAAATTTGGGGATTAGGGTTTAGGTTTAGGGATATTGGGATACAGGAAATTGGAGTTCATATGGTTTCGGACGAAAATGCCCCTGCTCATGGGGCTGATAATGGCGTGTAATACGTGTCACGGGCGGAAAACTTTCTGGCCGAGTACGAGCTCATGCCCACGATGGATCGTTTTCAAAGAACAATTATGACGAATGACATTTTTATATTAGAATGGTAGCATGCGCAGTCTACTTAGATCGCTTCAGCACAATAACTATTTCGGGCCTATTATGGAAATCATCGTAAAATCGACATCGGTTTCTGATCAATTTGTGTACGAGAGGCCTACTAATGAGTAATTCAAGATTCCTGGAGCCTACCCATTGAATAGGATTCCTCGTTTTTTGAAACTTCAACTTATCATGCATATTCTAGAAATTTATGTTGTCATAGGTTTAACAAGTTACTTTTCTTTTACTTTTCGTCCAAATGCATTGATGTTATTTCCTGACCGGAAAAAAATGTGGTTTGAACATATAGGCAAATACATTTGCGTGTGTATATGTGAATTTATGAGTATGAGTTTGATTTATTCTTATTTACATTCAATCATCAATTGGTCGGTGACTTGCTCTCCTTAACACTATGGTACCTTATACATATTTCGAGTATGGTGATGAATATAATGTGTAGTGCTAATACGCATCACCTTAGAAGCAATGTCATTGTTGATTACATGAAAAACAAAGCTACACAATCTATATATTGACTCAATTTTTTTCGTAAGAAACACAAATACGTACTAATTACATGCTCTATTTTGGTATTAGTAACTCTATAATTTCTCATGTAAATAACTGAACGATGCATAGGTTAAAGATGACTCATGTTGAATATCTGATAAATAAATTTAATCACTTTTTTCTACATAACAAATATTTTTTAATTGGTTTATCAATCGAATTTACTTTCAAGAGGTGGGAACTCCCCACCTTAAAATTTAATGCGAGGATTGAGAAAAACAATTCGCGCGAAGATCATAGAACTAATTTCTTCTTCTTCTCTTTTTTCTTTTGCAATTTTTAAAATAACATTCCCTAATTTTCCTTAGTACATATTGCTCTTCTATATATAAAATATACATTATTTTCACCCAACACATCTGGTGGATGAAAAAGTCAAACACAAGCAACTTTGACATAGGCACGAGTATTTTAATAGGTAGTTATTAAGGATCAAGACTATTCATGGAAAGTATTTGATACGAAAAAAATAAAAGAAACCACAATTTAATTTTCAAATAATACGGGAAAATTTAGTCAACAACAAATCTATTGATATAATACAAAAGAAGAACTTTTGACAGAAAAAAAGAAATAAAAGAAAATCTTTCAAACAAGATATCCTCGTTATAAAATGGAATAACATCAATTGCATACCTTCATTTTTTTTTCTCGGTCCCATTTCGATTCTCGATTTCCTCGGGAAACCGAACCGAAAACCATATTGGGAGGGCATCGAAACCTAAAACCGGATGGATTTTCCTCGGTTCGGCTTTTCAGATCCCAGTTTTACCTCAAAACTATGCTCACCTTGAGAGGGAGGCCAATCTCGCTTCTCAAAAGACCCTGAATTCTTAGCACATACACTCCGACGCCATTCCACTCTACTCCACTCGTATAACCCAATTGAATCGACCTTCTTACATTGATCCCTCTATACCTGTGTGCGTTTGGTTCAACATTTTAAAAGCCCTTCCACCCAGGTTCGGGGGCTATTTTACGAAAATGCCCCTGCCACTCAAGCTTCATTTTTCCCCCTTTCTTTTCTTTTTTTTTTGGGAGATTCTCGCGAAAAAGTGAGATTATAAATAAAATCTCCCCTTTGGTCGGCTTGCTCATACAGTCGTCACCCATCCACGTGCATACGCTTTCTCCTCCCCTGCTTCTCTTCGATCAATTGGGTTTAGTTATTGTTTTTAGTTTAATGTTCATTATGTTCTAGACTACTTGTTGTTAGAGCTACGATATAGCTTAACTATGATTGATTAATTTTCAAGACTTGTTTATGCAAGTCTAGATCTCGTATGTGTGAGTTATATATCATGTTTTTAATGCTTTTAAGTGCTTGATCACCACTTGAATGATTTTTGTTGCATGCTGAAACCGAATGGAGATTCTATGTGAGTGCTTTATGATATATAGCCATGAATTTAACTTAGATAGAGATATACTAGGTTGTTTGTGTGGTTTCGATAGTGGGTAAATCGAGGGTGGTTTATTGAATCCGGGAATATTCATAGATTTTAATGCACTTAGGTTTACTTAAATTCACATGGACCAAGTGTGGGTTATTTAATCTAAGTGGGGTTGCTATACCGGACCAAGGATAGTAATTTAAATTAGGAAGTTCTACCATCACACTATGATTTCAATTTGATTGCATGACGAGTTTGGTTAATTAATCTTGATTGGTTAAGTGAAATCGGATGCTCTAACGTTTTTAATTCTTGATCAAAGTCCTTTACTCCTTACTTCTATATGTTCGAAATGTCTAGGTTTAGTTTGTGAATGTTTATTTTTGGTTTTGATTTGCTGCCTTGGTTAATTTAGTCTTCGGAAATTTCAATCTTAATAGGTTAATTTAATTTTCTTCAGAATTTCGATTTCTTTATTAAATCTTCAATTGGTTAGATAAAGTCGAGATTTGTTCACTTTTAATAAGTAATTTGATTAATTTATCTACAATTTTCCATGGGGAACGATACTTTTACTTCATCGCTTTATTATTTGTTCGATACATACACTTGCATTGCTAATTTAGAGAACATCCGCTCCATTCCACTCGTATAAACCAATTGAATCGACCTTCCTACGTTGCTCCCTCTTCCCACCCGGGCACCATGAGGCCCCAACATCATAGACTTTTGGAAGGACGGTCGAAACGAACCTACCGACCGGCTTCCGGGGGTGCTATTTTACGAAAATGGCCCCCGCCACTCGAGCTTCTTTTTTTCGCCCTTTTTTTTCTTTTTTCTTTTTTTGAAAATCCTCTCAAAAATGAGATGATAAATAAAATTTTCCCCTGTCGGCTCGCCCGTACCTTCTTCGTCAGCCATCCACGCGCGTACGCTTTCTCCTCTACTTCTCTCCGATCAAGCAAACGACGACACCACCACCACCACCACCACCGCAGCACCGCCATCTTCTCCTTCCTCCGAAAGCTCCCCATATCTCTCCGTCTGCGATCATCCCACCACCGTCGATCGATCGATCGATCGATCGGAGCAGCGGCCATGGTGCACCCGGGACCGTCGCCGAACCCGCAGCTGACGCAGCAGTTCCTGAGCTCCGTCCTCTCGCAGCGGGGGCCCTCGTCGCTGCCCTACGCGGAGGACACCAAGTGGCTGATCCGCCAGCACCTCCTCGCCCTCGCCACCGCCTACCCATCCCTCGAGCCCAAGACCGCCTCCTTCACCCACAACGACGGCCGCACCGTCAACCTCCTCCAGGCCGACGGCACCGTCCCCATGCCCTTCCAGGGCGTCACCTACAACATCCCCGTCGTCCTCTGGCTCATGGAGTCCTACCCCCGCCACCCGCCCTGCGTCTACGTCAACCCCACCCGCGACATGGTCATCAAGCGGCCCCACCCCCACGTCAACCCCTCCGGCCTCGTCTCCCTCCCTTACCTCCACAACTGGGTCTACCCCAGCTCCAACCTCGTCGACCTCGTCCGCAATCTCAGCCTCGTCTTCGCCCGCGATCCCCCGCTCTACTCCCAGCGCCGCCCCGCCCCCGCCCCCGCTCCCGCTCCCCCGAACCCTAGCCCCAGCCCCGGGCAAGGGTTCGGCCTCACGCCGAGCCTGAATTCGGGGAATTACGCGCCGAGGCCCGCGATCCCGCCCCGCGCCTACCCGGCTTCGCCGTATGGGGCGGTCCCCCCCGCCGCCGGTGGGGCCTCGCAGCGGATCCAGACGGAGGACCCGAGCGAGGTCTATAAACGGAACGCGGTGAATAAGCTCGTCGAGACGGTGCACGGGGACGTGGCGGCGCTGAGGAAGGCGCGGGAGGCGGAGATGGAAGGGCTGTTCGGCGCGCAGGCGGTTCTGAGGCAGAGGGAGGAGGTGGTGAGCCGGGGCGTGAAGGAGATGCAGGACGAGAAGGAGGCCTTGGAGCAGCAGTTGCAGATGGTGTTGATGAACAGCGATGTGCTCGAGGCGTGGCTGAGGGAGAATGCTGGCAAGAAGCCGGGGAGTTTGGAGGCTGAGGATGCGTTCGAGTGCACTGACGCACTCTCCAAGCAGATGCTCGATTGCACAGCTGCAGATTTGGCGATCGAAGATGTAATTTACTCGATGGATAAGGCGGCGCAGGAAGGGGCTATCCCATTCGATCAGTACTTGAGGAGTGTCAGGCTGTTGTCCCGCGAGCAGTTTTTTCACAGGGCGACGGGGATTAAGGTCCGAGCGGTGCAGATGCAAGCTCAGGTTGCGAGCATGGCTGCCAGGGCACCGCATTATGTGAGCTGAAAAAGGGTATTCCTTTTTCGTAACCTCGTATATGGCTTAAGAATTTTGTTCTTTGAAACAATTACATGTACTGGATTGGTGATTACCTTAATAATTTGCTGTGAAAATTTGCTTTGATTCGGTAGTTGATGTGGTAAATCTCAGATCGATGTACCTATTGCATTGCACAAGCGATCTGATGATATATAAGTTATGATTTCTGCAATTTATTCTGGTGCTTGATTGGACTTTTTTCTGCAAGGCTTCTATTCCTGCAGTTACCTTATGGGTTGAATATGGCTTTTTGTCCCTAAATTTGACACAACATGCTTCAGAACTCTCAACTTCACATTTCAGCATTCTCAACTTCAACATTTTATTGCTATATGTCACTTCTCCGGTACAGTCATTCACATTACTGTAATTTTGGCCACTTTTTGTTGATGATCTTCTTTTTGGGTCACATTTTTCATATTCAATATTTTATATCTTCAGATTCCCAATCCGGCTTGTATTGTCAATGAACTAACAGGAAAAAGTATAAGTTCTTGGTGTGGATCATTTTTAGAAGAGTGAAGAAGACTCATAGAATGGCATGGATTGACTTCCCTAGACAAGTGACATCTAAGGAACATTTGTATGATGATAGTTGGAGAGTAGAAATCAAAATTTGAAGTTGATGATCTAAAGTGTAAAGAGCGAAAATGTAGGTCACCTTTGTTTGGGTATTATGCATGTTCCAGGAGCTTCTGATCCGAATAAAATATAGCTTTGAATGTGCGTTTTGGCTGGTTACCATGAATGTTCCATTTTCTTGCTTTTGTCTATTATTTTATTTATCGTTCTATCTCTACCCAGCATAGAAGGTAAATTAATCAGTTCCGTGGGGTATGGGGTTTGATGCTTTCCGTTGTCAATATTGATTCTTATTAGTTCACCAGGGACAGTCAGCTGTAAAATCTGCAAATCCTGCTGAAATATATACATCAAACCGTTTCGTGGTAGATTTTCCTGTCTCTATTCTAATTACTGTCTTCTTGAAAGAAATGTATCTTTAAATCAGTACTTTGTTGTAATAAAAATAGTCATTACTTTTTAAATAACTTATTGACAAATCACGAGTTGGAAATTCGACTTGTTCACTTGTATGTATTATGATCTGATCATAATATGATTTACTGTGTATCCCGCTGTATTTGAAGTGACTGGTGTGGCAGTAAAGCGGGTGCACTTATGTGTCCTTCAAAATACTCAGTTGCTGCTCTTAATTTTTCTTAGTCCGTTCCTCCCTTATTTGTACCTGCAGTGCCACCTTTTCTTCTCCATTAGACTGTCATTTTCTTCCCTTTCTGTGTCAGTGCTCTTTTAAAGTCCCTCGCCCTTTGGTAATTCCATAGTAGAAGCTTCCTAAATGATTGCATACATTGGAACTATCATAAGTGTGAAACAGTTATCCTTCTTACATCCAGGCTGTGGTCTTTCCTTGCCTATTAAATATACTCAGAAAGATCTGCATATCTGTTTGTGCTGTTCCTTTCTGGATAGAACGTAATGAGTTTTGCATTAAATAAGCGATATTGGGTTACGTCTAGCTATACAAACTTGTCATTTCAAATGGATTCACTTGCAATGAGTATGCATTAAAATGAAAAACTAGTTTGCTTAAATTTATTGCCAGGACATCTACAGTTTGTGTGCTTGTGGGTGGTACATATCACATCTATTTTTGCTGAGTTCAGATTTATAAGTCTAGCACTGTTGAGACTAGTGGAAGCTGATTGGTCTGCTAACTTTTAGTGAAAGATGACTTGAGTTCAATTTATACAGCTCCTGAAACACAGAATGGTGATTAGTGGCTGCTATGATAAGGCAAAAGACATTTTGCAATTCCTGCTTTTGGTTAATGCCCTTGCGAGATAAATTTGATAGGAGAGTAACAATTAGAATGCTTGATGAATATGATAGGAGAGTAACAATAAGAATGCTTGATGCTGCTAAATTGTTGCATATTCATATTTGTTAAAGATCCTTTCTGGCACTGTCTGTTTCCGCAGATGCCATCACCCTTGTATTTCTTTTTTATCTTTTGTTTCCTTTTTTTCTTTTCGCCAATTTATGTGATTTCCATCTAGTTATTAATTTGCTTGCAGCACACTAAGAATTTATACGTCTGGGTTTTTTCTTGGGGAGGTAATTCCAACATGTGTTGTTATTTATGCTAAAAAATTGGTCTTACTGCCTGCATCTGAGATAATTCTGAAGATTTGAGTTGGTTAGTTTGTTATGGCTATGCCGCTATGTGTACGGTTGGTTAGTTGCTGGCTTGTAATTTATCTTCTATACTGCTTTGGGCGATGGGAACCTCTCCCCCAGCATTGCTAAGTTTGGCTTCTTTATGGAGATGTCTCAGATGCATGGTGATTCTCATTCATTGTTTTCTTTTTCCTTTTTTTTTTCTTTTTCTCTATGAATTATTCTGTATAACATGCTGTACCTTCCTGTGTTTTATCGTGTGAGAAAAGACATCACTATGATGCGTTTCAATTATTGCTAAACTAGTCATTCTAACTAGGCACAAAATGTGCAGAATGTATTTCCACTTTGTACTTGAATAATATTGGACACAGAGCTCTTACAATGATAACAAACAATAACGACAACAACCAAGACTCATCCTACTAATTGAGGCTAACTGCACACGTCATCTTGCGTATTGCGTTGTTCAATCTTCATTGAGCTCCAACTGCTCGAGATTTTAGCTTAATGGTCTCCTTACACATCATTGTAAGCCTTCGCCCAGGCCTTTTAACATGTATAATATGTTCTTTCCTTCCATATGTTTTCTTTCTTTTTTTTGGTTGTGAGATAGCCAGTCCTGATCAATTTATTCCCACGCTAATGGTAGCTTCTGTGATTGAAATAGTGGTTGTCAGGGCTATAATATGTGGTCACCTGATTCAATATGTTTAAGCTAGCGTGGTCTACTTTGTTATTGGTTAGCAGTAATAATTATAACTTATAAGTGGATGATATTGACGTCCTCGTTAGAACTATGTAAATGGTGGAGATTTTGGGTTCTTTAAGATGTACTCTGACTGTGGTGAAGTTTGCGCAACATTTTGTCAATGATCTTCTGTTGGGATGATAATTTTCATATGCAACATTTTAGTCATCTTCAGCATCCCAAGCTAGTATTCATCTCTACGAACTGGTGGGAATAATTTTGTGTTCTCGATGTCGGTCTCTTTTTTCGAAGAATGAATGGTTCATAGTCGTTGATTGAATTTTCGAGACAAGTGACGTCTTGGGGACACTTGTGTGGTGATAGTTGGAGAGTAGAAAGCCCAAATTTGAAGTTGATGGTGTAAAGTGTTAAGCACGAAAATGTAGTCCTGCTATGTTTGGGAACTATTTCTTAGAGGAGCTTCTTATCCGAATAAAAGTATAGTGTAGAATATGCATTTTGGCGGGTTATCAGTTTACATAGTTGAACGATCATTTTCATACTTTCCTCAGTCATTTTGTTTACCCTATTCCCTACACCTTTTATACATGGCAAATTATTTGGTTTCCCTGGGGTATGCTTTTCTTTGTCAATCTCCATTTTTCATAGTTTCCAGGGGCATGATGTCTGCTCTAAAATCTACAACCCTACTAATATATCATAACCTGTCCTGGAACACTTTCCTGTCTCTATCTATTGTTTTCTTAGAGGAAGTGTATATATCAATCAGAACTTTGTTGTAATAAAAGAAATTGTCATTACCTTTTAAACAACTGATTGATGTATCACTGGCAAAAATTCGACATGTGGACTAATATGTGTTAACTGATCAGTGACCATGATTTACTACATATCCTGCTTTATAGAAATGACTGCTGTATGCTGTAGGCCGTAGTAAAGCAGGCTGCACTTATCTGTCCTTGAAATTGCTCGGTTGCTGCTCTTAGCTCTTACATATTCTGCCTCCTTATTTGTCCCCATGTGCGAGCACCTTTATTCTTCCTACATCCAAGCTGCTGGTCATTCCTTGCTTATTGAATATACTCAGAAAGACCTGCTTATCTGTTAGTACTGCAGTTCTTTTCTGGAATAAATTTATCACGTTTTTCATTAAAATTGGTTACGGCTAGCTTTACAGGCTCATCACTTTGAATGGATTCATTTATAGAGAGTCGACATTAGGGTGAAAGCTGGTATGCTTATATTTTAGTTCCGGGATATCTACCTATTCTGTAATTGTAGAGAATATAAACTACCCATGATAAATTATTGCCATCTGCTTTCCATATGCTGAGTTCAGACTTATGTGAGTCTAGCATTGTCTGAACTAATGGAAGCCCATTGGTTTGCTGTAGGATTTCAATTTGAGCTTCTGGTGATGCAAATTGTTTGTCATTATAGGAACAGTCAATATGGTGACTGCCATAATATTAAAATATCTCTCTGCAATGCCTATTTTTCTTTAACGTCCTTGCGAGATAAATCGATGTGGGTGTAACAACAAAAATTCTTTGATACGAAGGAATTATTGAGGACCCATTTTATTCTGGTACCGTGCCCTCTTCCCGCAGATGCCATTGGCCTTATATTTCCATCGAACCTTTACTTCGCTATCTCCATCTGCTTATTACTTTGCTTGGAGCAAACTTAGCATGAAACATATCTAGGTTTTTTCTTTCAGATGCTATCTTAATATATGTAGTTGCATATGCTTAAAATCTGTCCAGTCTCAGTGCCTGCAATCTTAGAAATCTTAAGATGTAGAGTTGGTTAGTTTGTGTTGGCCGTGTGGGGTGTTGGTTACTTGCCAGCTAGTAAGTTGTCTTTTGTACTGCATTAGGTGATGGGTAGTACTGCTCTATTATGCAGTTTGGCTTCTCTAGACAGGTGTTTCAGATGCATGATGCTTCCTTTTCATGTTCTTTGTTTTTTCTTCTTTTTGTTTATGAATAGTTGTGTGAAGAGACATGGTGTGCCTTGGCACAAACTTTCTTTTTAGCTGAGACCAAGTGAGAAAAGACAGCTTTATGATGTGCTTCAATTAGTCATACTATGGCACAAGAATTGGAGATGTATATCGGCTTTGTGCGTGAATATTATTGGAGAACAGAATCCTCAGAGCAATCACAATAGCAATAACATCATCTGCAACAATCAGGACTTGTCCCATGCAGTGAGGCTAGTTATATGAATCCCTTGGCATTTTGCATCTTCTTCCCAGA